CTAGTGTCATCGTATTTTTATTAAATGAACTAATTTTTTTTTTGTTTTGTGATAGAATAAATTTATTTAAACTTTTTCTTTCCGACGAAAGTTAAAAATTGACAGATATTGCTAAATTTGATTTCTCCTCACATAAATCTAAAAATTGAACGCTCAGAAAAGAAAAGTATACACGAAGTGTCATACCTTTTTCGAATGTAGATTTTCAATTAGATTTAACAATATTTTATAATTGCAAACTTCTCTTTATTTACCATCGAATATGTATGAAGACTATAGGTTTTTCTATTATACACATCTAGGTTATATTAAAATCTGTAGTTGAATGTTTATTTCCATGTATGGAAAAAAAATCTGCACGATAATTTTATTTTAACACTTCATCATCACAAATTTTCTCTTATTTATATTTTATTATCACACCAAGGATACAAATTGAATATAGTAAAGTTTCTTACGTATAAAAGAATTTGACAGCAGTACAATACGTCATCATGATTAACTTATAAAGGTCAATGCAAATCTGAATCAGTTTTCTAATTATTGATGTTATCAGGATGAATCATCCGACTATTTAGTAGAAATAACTATAGCATATTATGACTGACGCAAGAGTGTAACGGAATTACATCATTATAAGTTTTTTGAATAGAATTTTTTCTTTTATTAGATTATTTTTCGAAGATAGTTATTTTCAAATAATAAATTTATATTTTAATTTAAATTAGAAAATTAGATTTTATTGTATTTAAAAATATAATTAATATTTTATCTCTAAGAATATGCCTAATTGAAAAAAAAAATGTGAAAATTCATTTTTAAAACAAGATAAATTTTATTGATCATATAACGAAAAATAACATTCCTATTATCACAAAAATCTGAAGTGCTGAGTTTGCCACAAGATGAGAAGATTGAAAATAAACAGTTACTGTACAAAAAATTTATAAATTCATGACTAAAAATTACAAAAGAAAATAATAATCTAAATTGCATTTTTTTTCCTATTTAAATCATAACCACTTCTTGTTTATTATACTTGAATAGATTCCGTAGCATTAGTTGTAGTTGATTCAGTTTTAGTATTATTTTTGTTTTTTTTTGATTTAGTTTTTGTTGAAGTTGTTGTTATTGTATCTGCTTGGGATTGTTCTTCTTCAACTTCAACAACTGATTCTGGTGTAGTTTCTTCTTTAGTTGTGAGGTCTTCTGTTTCATTTTTATGAGATTTTTTTGTTTTTCGAGTAGTTGTTTGAGATGAGATACTTTCATTATGACTTTTTTCGGATGATAAAGATGTTGTTGAATCATAGACATGATAAGTTTTAGCCCAAAAATCAAGATCTTTCAAAGAATCTCGTTCAACTTTAAGTTTTAACATCAGATCTTCGTAAATTTCATGTTCTTCATTTGAATATTCTGATGAAAATGCTGCATTATTGAATTGAATTAACGTTTCACCAAGTAAATCTAAACGTTCTTTTTCTAATGCTCGACATTTTTCATAGATATTCATTGCTTTTGAACGATAATTTTCATATTCTTGATTATATTCTTCTTCGGTTCGTTCGATTTCTCGTTGAATTTCATCTAATTTATCTTGTCGTTTACTTTGATTATCTTTTGCAGCTGAAATTTTGGTTTTACTTGCTGTTGGCTCGAAACTAAGATTTTCACATTGAACATTAGCATTATGAAGAGTATCTTTTGCTTTTTTTTCTTGTTCATGTAACTTTTCAAGTTTACTTGATAATTTACATAATGCTGAACTTGCTTCTTTAAATAAATTTTTCATTGCTTCGGTACGATGATGTTTACGAGTAGTACCTACACGATCATTTGGATACATTCGATCGACTTGTGTACGATATGTAGTAATAACTTTCAAAATAGCATCATATTGTTTTTGTAAGATTTCGGCACGTCGTTTAGGTGTAGAAACAGTGTCACGTTGTGCAAGTTTAGTAGTATGATAAGATGAAACCGATGATTGTTGGTTTATTTTCGTTCTCCATTTTTTTGAATATGAATAAAGACTATCAATAAATTCTTGTAGAAGTTCGAGATAATTTTCCATATATTCTATACAATCTTTGCTGATTTCATAGCCACCATCAAGACATTTGATAATCGATAAAAAGTTGTCGTCATTGAAGAAACTTGCATGAATATATTCATTTGACATGTAAGAAGCATCGTTATTAGTATTAGGAATATGAGAACGAATAGTATCTTTTAGTCCACCAAAATTGGAACGTTTTATTGAGGAAATAGCTGATTTGAATCGCGAAGCCATAGTTAATTATATATAACAATCTATATTGAAAAGAGAATAAACTTGTGTGTATGTTTTCAATAAAAGAAAGAATAATGATAGTGAAGTTTGTCGGGTATTTATAGTCTTCCTCTATCGTAGAACAAGGAAATATCCAGCAGAAAAGAAAGAAAAATCTGCACGCAAAAATATGAATCATCTGAAGTAATTGCGTAATTCGAACAGAACTGATGAAGAAAAAGAACAAAAACGAATTCCATCCACAACTTTTCTCTTAATTTCCGCATTTTTATCATTGAAAATGTAAGATAGTGTTTTTTTTTACGATTACGTAACATTGCGCAAGAGTAATTGCGTAATATTACTACAGACTCTGTAAATGATATTTAAGTACTTAAAAAAACGCCTCTGTCAATCGTTGTCATTGGTGTTTTTGTATCAAACATAGTGATTTGGCGACGGACTATAAGAAAATTAATCATTGATTACGTGTAGGATTGCGTGGATTCTAGAAAAGAGAAATTTCTTATGCTTCATCTATACTATAACTTGCGATACAATTCATTCATTAATAAGTTTATAAAAACAGATTTTTTTCTCAATCTTTTTTTTGTGTTAGAAATAACCCGTTACTAGAACCAAATAATAAAAGTTTAAATTATTCTTATTCATTTCAAAAAGTGTTTTTTTTGTCTTGGTAAACTTTGCATATGTATAAGTTTGTTAGGGTTGTAGTTATTGTGACAACCGCAATTTTATGCATGTTTTATTTTTCTGCCATGCAAAAGTCATATATTTGAGAAAAAAAGAAACATCTTGTAGAAGACGTGCATAGATTAGTTTTATTAATTGGATTATTTCAACATTAAAGTAACTTTTGCTTATATGTTGAGTTTTTATTTTTACTAATGATGTAGAATAATCTTCTGGAATTCGATATTACTTGAAACAGGTACCTGTCAAGAGAGATTACATATTTGAATCAATTTGGTCAATATTTGTTTTCATTGATAACCTTGTGAAGAAAAAGGTGTGTACAATCACTTTTATCGGCTTCGTGTAGACACTACCGTCCTTAACAAATATAGTTTTAGTATAAAACAAATCTTACTCATGTTGGCAACATACATTGTTTTGTATAGTGTGTGAATTCGAGTTAATTGAGTATAATCAATGATTAATTCATAATTCTTAGTATTTATGCTGTGTGATGTCGAGAATAAATGAATAATATCTCAGTAGGAAACTACAGGTTGGGATCCGCCTTCTTTTTTTGTTACTAATATGTGCTAACCTCTGCATACAAAAATAAATGAAAGGTCAAAATTTTAGCTATTTATTGACTATTTTCAAAAAAAAGTGAACCTATGATGATTTCTTCTTGGTCATTTTTCTATTATCCGATGCTTTAAAATTTTCTCTTACTTGAAAAGAGCATTATATTAACAAAAAAAGGAAATTGAACAGCTAATGGATAAACAAAATTTATCAAATGAAAAGTAGTATCATAATATTCTATCATATCTATGTGAATGAGATCAAGTAACAATTTGCTTTATGCAGTCGATAGAGCGTGCTGTGTGTGTATAATAAGCTTTCGTTTCTGCGTTAATAGACATTCAATTTTTATGTATATCAAATATGTTGATTAAAAAGAAACGACCGATAGATACTTTGAATTTTCACTCTCAGCTTACACTACATACACATAGGTATGCATTGATTCAAACGTTTCACTACGGATTGAACTTGCTCGATAAAGAATTAATAATTTTGCATATGCTCAAATAAATCAATAATTCAATCCTAACTTTTTCGTGATCAATTTCGGCCAACTTTAATGATTGGAATTGGTACATTTTCACATTAACATTTTCGTATTTATATGTAATACTAGGCGATTCTCTTGTCTTGCACCTATACCCACACACTATTTTGTCCTATACAAAAATTCATTCGTTTCTGCTCAGAATTGAGTGTGACAAAATCTATCAAAGACATGATGAAGAAGCATGCAGTTTTGATATGAATTCATTGAAATAAAATGACTTGCTTGTATTTACCTTACTTCTTTTTTATGTCAGGCTCATCTGTTCGTGTATCAGGCAAAATTTTTCCATTCTCCATCCCGTATCTCAACTACCATACATGCTAATTGTCTAAAAATACGGCTTCAAAATGCTAGATGATAATTGCGAACTCAAATAAAACGAAAATCAAGATGAAGAGAATCTATTGTTGCTTTTCGTATTTTTAATCTGATAAAAAATTTTCCATTGAATACACAGATCAAGAAATTCGGACCATTTTCGGGCAGAAATCCGGTGGCTGGCTCTGTCTGGCTACAAGAGAAACTAGAAAAACCAACCAACTCGACAAGAACTTCATTCTTTGAGTTATAAAAGTAAAATAGATGCGATTCGTGATTATTCTCGTTTTATGAAAATAATTTGATATTACTGATCTGTATTTTCTTTCGAGTATGTTCATAGACATTGTCAGTGATACAAGAAACTATCGTAGTGAAAATATGAAGAATCAAAGGTTCTTATGCATCACTATATTATTTTAACACGTTTAAAAGAATAAAAACAAATAAATTATATGCATAATATATTTTATTCTTGTTTATTGATTGATGCTTAATTAAATATAATAAAATCAATATACTAGAAGCTATAGTCATGCTTATATTTTTAAGTTCGAAAGAAAAATATAAAAATCATCAAATTAAAAATAATTTTACAAAAACTGCATTTTCGTTGATTCTATTGTCTACTTCACCATATAGGAATAAGAGATATGCTTTTGAATTGAAACATAATTTATCTGAATGTAAATATTTTATTATTTCATCATCAAATTCAAACCATTGTTGTTGATTATTCATAATATCTCGACAAAATATTGTATAAAGTCCGTCATTCAATGAATCATCATGATTAATAATTGAATAAAGTGTATAAGATGATTTTTGTGAAGATGATGACGAAGAACAATATTGTTGTAAATCAAGATTATCCTCAGGATAAAGTACAAGAGTATTATTTTTAATCCAATCCATTTCATAATTTATTTTCATTTATTCTTACCGTTTAAGTTGAATGATTAATATTTTTGGTAATTTATAAATTTCTAAACGTTTTCTTCCATTACAAAGACGTTGACATCGAGGACCTAGAAAAAGAAAAATATAGATATTTATACCGATTATATTTTCAACATACAAAACCATCTTGAATCATTAATTAAATATTCATCTTGATTGAAATGTTTAAAACAATCTTCTAATGTACATTGATTTGTTGATGGAATTGGAAGAGTAAGACAAATAAATGGCTCATAATTATGTGAAGCATACGAACAAACCTGACATGTTGTTGTCGATAGATAGGTGCCCTTGATGAAAGTATAACAGAAAAAAAAGTTGTTTTGTGAAAGATGATCTGAGAAGAATGTTGCATAGATATGTATGAAACTAACGTTTTTTAGTTCTGATTTCGATAGTTTCTGTTCTATTGATTCTTCTTTCAGATGGTTTTAGTTTTCTGAACTCGAGTCTTGATCTAGCGAAAACTATTGCAGAATTTTTTATATAACATCTGAAAAATTTACTTGATACTCGTTTTTAATTTATTTAATTGATGACTAGTACTTTTCTGGCTTATGTGTTTTGAATGACATTTTGGTTGATGAATTTCTTTTAGATCACTCATTTAAAATCATACAATATTGAGCTATAATTTTTAGTTCTGGTCGGAACAATTGTTTTCTCGTAGTACTTAATCCTGGTGTCGATTATCAGAACCAAAACTAAAATTATGTCATACACGAATAACGTCTCGTAAGCAGAATAAAATAATAATCCCTCTTGTGATTAGTAAATGTAGCTCGGTCGAGTTTTGCATTTTAATTCTTCAGAGATTGTGCTAACAGGGTTTTAGTAACAATACTCACATAGAATAAGTCAACAATAATGGAATGATTATTTATTTGATTGGACGTATTATGTTCGATTTCTTGAGTTTAATTTAAGATTTCAGTAGAGTTTATCTATGAGAATAAAAGAGAAAGTTTTCGACTATTATTCATATTAATATTATTACTCTATGTAAGTGTTTATGTAAATAATCAAGTAAAAATATAAGAAATTCATGTGCATCCTGCTGTTGATTCTCTAAATAACTATGGTGTATATGACCAATTACTTGTTTAAATGGTCCTGGCGTAACAATATTATATTCACCACAATATAATAAATATAATAAATTCAAATATTCACTAGCTACTATTTCTTTTGAAACTGAGATATTCTTCATCGTACTATCTTCAGTATTTTCATTCAACAAAAAATAATTTGTTAATGATGAAGTAAATAATAGTGATTGTAAAACAGAATTCATATAACATGTTCCCCCAAGATTTTTCAGTCCAAATATATTTCCTGCTTGCCGAAATTCATTAGAAATCGCTTGATAATCTTCTGCAATTCCTCCTCGTAGTGCACCATCACATAGAATAAATTTTCTTATACATGATTGATCTATTATGGAGTTAGTTCCTTTTTGTGTGCTATTATAAGGGTGTGCGTGTGGGTGTGTGGGTGTGGGTGTGGGTGTGGGTGTGGGTGTGGGTGTGGGTGTGGGTGTGGGTGTGGGTGTGCGGGTGTGGATGTGGATTCCTGAA